TAGTAGAGACAGGGTTTCACCACATTGGCCAGGCTGGATTCGAGCTCCTAACCTAAAGTGATCTGCCCGCCTCAGCCTCCGAAAGTGCTGGGATTACAGGTGTGAGCCACCAAGCCTGGTCTCTCCTCACATTTTAGTATATGCAGTCAAGAGGAACCAAGTCGCTTTTTTCAACACTTCCAAGAAATATTGTCGGCTCAATATCAAATTTCATCACTTCTTAGTTCTACTTTCTCCAAAATAGCACTGAAGTACAATGCACCAAGTTCTTTGCCACTTTCTACAACGGTTCATCTTTTCTGTATTATGCAATAATATTATCCTCAATTCTGAGACCACATCAGTATTGCCTTTATTGTCCATATATCCACCAAAATTTTGTACATGATTTTTTATGTGCCCTAGTAAGATGAAAACTTGCTTTATGCCTCTTTTTATTTTTATTTTTTATAGATGGGGTCTTGCCACACTGCCTAGGCTGGTCTTGAACTCCTGGGCTCAAGCGATCCTCCTTCCTCATCCTCCCAAAGTGCTGGCATTATAGGCATGAGCCACCATACGGGGCCTGCCTGTCCTCTTTTGTGAGCTCCTACCAGTGTCCAAAGACAAAATTACAACAAATTTAGGTACTGGCAGATTTAGTGTCTGATGAGGGCCGATTTTCTGATTCACAGATAGCTTTGTTTGTTTGTTTGTTGAGACACAGTCTCACTCTGTCACCCAGGCTGCATGTAGTGCAGTGGCATGATCATGGCTCACTGCAGCCTCAGCTTCCCTGGGCTTGGGTGATCCTCCCACTTCAGTCTCCCGAGTAGCTGGAACTACAGGCGTGTGCCACCATGCCCAGCTCATTTTTTTATTCTTTGTAGAAATGGGACTTTATCATGTTGCCCAGGCTGGTCTTGAACTCCTGGGCTCAAGTGATCTGCCCACCTCAGCCTCCCAGAGTGCTTGAATTGCAGGCAAGAACCACCATGCCTAGCCTCATAGATAGCTATCTTAATGTATCCCCCAAGGCAGAGAGCAAAAAAGCAAGCTGTTGGGAGGATTCACAATAGGTAACTGATTTCATTATTGAGGCTCCACTCTCATGATCTAACCTAGTCTGTATTATATCCCAAAGAAGACATTCCCTAATTCTGTCACATTAGGGAAATGGATTAGAATGAGTGAATTTTATGAGGACACATTTATTCTATAACAGGCGGTCTGCTTTTTGTCATTGACTTTTTAGAGTTCTCTCAGCAGTCTGCATATTAATTTCTTGTCAGATACACGAATGGAAATGCTTTCTCTCATTCTATGGGTTGTCTATTTTGATGCCAAAAGTTTTAAAATTTCATGCATTTCCATTTCTTTTTTCTCTTACGGGTCATGCCTTTGGTGTCATATCCAGGAAATCATTGGAAAATCCAGGTTCATAAAGCTTTTGCCATATACTTTTTTTTTTTTTTTGAGACGGAGTCTCACTCTGTCACCAGGCTGGAGGGCAGTGGAGCGATCTCAGCTCACTGCAACCTCCACCTCCTGGGTTCAAGCGATTCTCTTTCCTCAACCTCCCAAGTAGCTGGGATTACAGGAATGCGCTACCATGCCCAGCTAATTTTGTATTTTTAATAGAGACGGTGTGGTCAGGCTGGTTTTGAACTCCCGAACTCAGGTGATTTGCCAGCCTTTGCCTCCCAAAGTGCTGGGATTACAGGCGTGAGCCACCGTGCCTGGCCAGGGAAGGGTACATTTTCATTCTGTTGCATATGGATGTGCATTTTCCTCCAGCATCAGTCTATGGAAACACGATCTTATCTTCCATTGTATCATCATAGTATGCGTGTCAAAAATTGTTGGACACTAGGCAAACATGTATTTCTGTCCTGTGTATTTTGTCACAATTGTCTATTTCTGTGTCAGTATGCTGACACTAAATTTTTTTTATTAGTATAAATTTGCTCTAAGTTTTGAAATCAGGAAGTGTCAGTCTACCAACTTTGCTCTTGTTTTTCAATTCTTGTTTTGTCTGTTCAGAGTCCCTTGAGATGCCATATGTAAAAAGATGGAAAAATGGGTCCTAAAAACTAATCAAGTGGTCAAAGCTATCCCTAAAAGGCTAGCAGGGAGCAAAAAGTGCTATTTCTCAATGAGAAAAAAAAAATCTTAGAGAGGTGTTTTGAAAAATGCCATGTCACTTTTGAAAGTGGGCCACATGGTAAGAACAAACTAAGCATTCACACACTAAAGCAGAAAGAAGCTGAAATTCTTGGAAGTCTTAGAGCTGCCTCTATAATGGGAAAAACGACTCCTCTGCTTCATGACAGACTGAGTATAAAGACTGAGAAAGCATTAAGTGTGTGGCTAGAGGACACATCGCTAAACAACATCCCTTTTAATAATAAAATAAAGTGTGAAAAAACAGCCTTTATGAATACCACTGTGAGAAGGTTGAGGAGAGCAAGAAAAAGGAGTTTCAGGCCAGTATTGTCTGGCTGCGCTAGCTACATAAAGCACCAGAGCCTCAAACATTTAAAGACTATAGGAGAATTGACACTGGCTTATGCCAACGCAATATTAGCGTTCCCAGCAGAGCTCACAAAACTCATAAAAAGAAAGTCTACCTTCCAAAGCAAGTCCTCCATTGCAATGAATTGGGTAAGCCCTAGAAAAAAAAAGAGGTCCAGTGGTACCTACATCCATGACTGCCAAGGAGGCCCTGGGGTTCAGGGCCCGGAAAGATCACCTACTCTGGTGCAGTGTGGCAATGTGGCAGGTCACAAGAACAAGCCAGGCCTTGGCTCTTGAGCAAATAATCCCTAGGTCCTTTAGAACAAAAGCAAAACTTGCCTGCCTCCTTTCTGGCAAAAATACAAGAAGGCTTGGGTAATGGCCATCTTGTCCTTGGAATGGTTCTACCAAAGCTTCATTCCTGATGTGAAGAAATACCTTGAAGAGGCTGGACGTGGTGGCTCACGCCTGTAATCTCAGCACTTTGGGAGGCTGAAGTGGGTGGATCACTTGAGGTCAGGAGTTCAAGACCAGCCTGACCAATATGGTGAAACCCTGTCTCTACTAAAAATGCAAAAATTAGCCAGGCGTGGTGGCGCATGCCTGTAATCCCAGCTACTCAGGCGGCTGAGGCAGGAGAATTGCATGAACCCAGGAGATGGAGGTTACAGTGAGCCAAGATCGCGCCACTGCTCTCCAACCTGGGTGACAAAGCAAGACTTCATCTCCAGGAAAAAAAAAAAAAAAAAGGAAGAAATGTCTTGAAGAGGCTGGGCGCAGTGGCTCACACCTGTAATCCCAGCACTTTGGGAGGCTGAGGTGGGCAGATCACGAGGCCAAGAGATCGAGACCATCCTGGCCAACATGGTGAAACTCCATCTCTAGTAAAAAAAAAAAAAAAAAAAAAAAATACAAAAATTAGCTGGGCTTGGTGGCATGTGCCTGTAGTCTCAGCTACTCGGGAGGCTGAGGCAGGAGAATCGCTTGAACCTGGGAGGCAGAGGTTGCAGTGAGCTGAGATCGCGCCACTGCACTCCAGCCTGGTGACAGAGTGAGACTCTATCTCAAAAAAAAAGAGAAATACCTTGAAGAGAAGGGACTGCCACTCAAGGTCCTTCTCATAATTGACAATGCTCCTGATCATCTCCAATCTCTGCTTTGCCACTAAGAATGTGGAAGTGATGTCCCTGCTCCTAACACTACATCACAGTGACAGCTACTCAATTAAGGCATAATCAAGTAGATTAAGGTGACTTATACTTACCTGACCTTCGGGAGGATTCATGCCATCCTGATGCTAACTCTGACTGTACCATAGTGGATTTATGAAAGCACTTCACAATTGCACATGCAACAGTTCTCACTGCAGAGGCTATAGATGCCCCAAAGCTCAAGAACCCCAAAGCAAGCTGGAAGCCATTATAGAGAGAGGGAGTCAATGATTTCAGGGGCTTCCCCACTATTGATGCAATAGTTAAGAATATCTTTTTTTTTTTTTTTTTCCCCGAGATGGAGTCTCACTCTGTTGCCCAGGCTGGAGTGCAATGGTGTGATCTCGGCTCATTGCAACCTCCACCTCCTGGGTTAAAGTGATTCTCCTGTCTCAGCCTCCTGAGTGGCTGAGATTACAGGTGCATGCCACCACACCTGGCTAATTTTTGTATTTTTAGTAAAGACAGGGTTTCATCATATTGCTCAGGCTGGTCTCGAACTCCTGACCTCAGGTGACCCACCCTCCTCGGCCTCCCAGTGTTGGGATTACAGGCATGAGCCACCGCGCCTGGCCAAGAATATCTTAAATATTGCAAGGGAAGTTGGTAAGAAAGGCTATCTCTGACAGGACTGCAGACGATGTGGAGGAACACACAGAAGAGCGTAAATTCTTACAACAAGGAACTCAAAGATGTGCTGAAATGCTCTATAGATTGATGATGATGACGATGACTTAAAAGAGGCAGGGCCACAGATTTGGACACTTGAAACATGTGCAGTTTTTCAATAGACAAAAGTATTAAGAAAGTTCATCATCCTCAAGTAAGATCCTTTGATGGAACTAAGCCTCCATGTCACCCACGGAATAACATGCCAACAAACAGTGCAAGATTTTTTTGATGACTCAAAAAAAAAAGAAAAAGTAGCTTCCTACACTTCTCACTAAGCACCTGCAAACATAAACACAGAACCTTCCATGGTTAAGGATCTGCAGCACTGAAGCTGAACAGATCTTGACAGTAGTATTATTTGGCCTCCTCCAACAAGTCAACATCTGCATCAGAACCTAGTTCTTTCAACACTGATGATCATCCTGACATCTGTCAAGATTCAACTTAGCCTGATGTCTCACTGCTTATCTACAATGCTACAACACGTGACAGTGTTAGGCACCATCCAGCAATCATCATCATCATCATCATCATCATCATTATACTTGGGTTATCAAGAGAGAAGCAGGATTTTGATGAGTGTTCACATGCTCGTTCAGGTCACAAAACAAAAGCAATCTGTGAATGTTAAAACGAAGAAATTTTAATGTTCTGGGTGACATATACTCTGTAGGTGGGCCTGCAATGGTTGTGTCTGCGTTGAACACGCAGAGACTATTTTTCTTGTCATGATTCTCTAAACAATACAATCAAACAACTATTTACATAGCTTTTACAATGTATGAGGTATTAAAAGTAATCTAGAGATGACTTACACAGTATACAGGAGGATGTGCATAGTTTACATGCAAATATGCCATATAACAAAGGACTTGACATCTGTGGATTTAGGGGGTGCTGAAACCAATCCCTTGCAATATATTGGGGGATAACTGTATTTAAAAAATTGAAACTACTTAAGGCTTTATCCCGTGTTTACATTCATAGGGTCTATCTCCAAAGTGAGTTCTTTCAGTTTCTGAAATTGAATAAAAGTACTGAATGTTTTCCCACATTCCATACATTTACAGAGTATCTTTCCAGTGAGTCCTTTTATGTCTATGCAAGGAACGGAGAGAACTCAGTGCCTTCCCACATTCCTTACATTCATACAGCTTCTCTCCAGTGTGAGTTTTTTCATGTCCTCGAAGGAAACGGGAACGAGTGAAGGCTTTACCACATTGGAGACATTCATAGGGTTTCTCTCCAGTGTGAATTCTTTCATGTCTTAGAAGGCAAGTGAGCCAAGAGAATGCTTTCCCACATTCCTTACATTCATACGGCTTCTCTCCAGAGTGAATCCTTTCGTGGACTTTTAAGTTACTGAAATGACTGAAGGCTTTCCTACATGTTTTACACTCATAAGGTTTTTCTACTGTGTGGATCCTTTTATGCTGAGAAAGGTATTTGAAACAACTGAATGCTTTCCCACATTCCTTACACTCATACGGCTTCTCTCCAGTGTGCGTTGTCTCATGATTTTGAAAGGAAGAGAGATCGCTAAAGGCTTTCCCACATTTACATTTATACGGTTTCACTCCAGTGTGAGTTGCTTCATGTCTTCGAAGGGAACCGGACAGACTGAAGGCTTTACCACATTGTTTACATTGATAGGGTTTCTCTCCAGTGTGAGTCCTTTCGTGTCTTTGAAATAAACTGGGACAACCGAAGGCTTTCCCACATATCTTGCATTTCTGGGGTCCATCTCCTGTGTGTGTTATCATGTGACTTCGAAAGCTCGAGCTATGAGATAAAACTTTCCCACACTGCTTACATTCATAGAGTTTCTCTCCAGTGTGAGTCGTTTCATGATTTCGAACCGAACTAGGACAATCAAAGCCTTTCCCACATATCTTACATTTATGAGGTCCATCTCCAGTGTGCCTTATCATGTGTCTTCGAAAGCTTGTGTGATGATAAAACGTTTTCCCACATTGCTGACATGCATAGGGTTGTTCTCCCGTGTGAGTCCTTTCGTGGAGTCGAGTGTAATAGTAACAGCTGAAGGCTTTCCCACATTGTGTACATTTATAGGGTTTCTCTCCGGTGTGAGTTCTTTCATGTCTTAGATAGGTACTGTAATCAGGAAAGGCTTTGGAACACTGTTTACATTCATACGCTTTCTCTCCCGTGTGGATTCTCTCATGTCTTAGATAGGAACTGTAAAAAGGAAAGGCTTTGGAACACTGCTTACATTCATACGGTTTCTCTCCAGTGTGCGTTCTTTCGTGCAAATGAAATAAACTGGGCCAAACAAAGGCTTTCCCACACAACTTACATTTATAAGGTCCATCTCCATGGTGTGCCGCCATGTGTCTGCGAAGGTTTCCAAGAGAACTAAAGGTTTTTGCGCATTCTTTACAATCGAAGGGTTTCTTTCCGGTGGGAGGCCTTTCATGTGTCTGAAAGGAGTGCTGATGACTGATGGTTTTCCCACGTTGTTTATGTGTATACGGCTTCTCTCCATATTCCTGATGCTCACATGATTTGTGTCCAGTGTCAACTCTGATGTTGCAATTAAGAGATGAATGACCCATGGCGACTTCTCCACACTCACTGCTGTCACATGGATTTACTTGAGGAGTGTTCTTGTTCACAATACTATCTGGAATCTGGCCAAAAGTTTCTCCACATTGACTATCATCTTTAATTTCACATGTATGACTTCTGTAACAAATAAGAAATACATTACTAAAGGTTTGTTTACGAGTGATTTTATATGTATTGAAGTACTAGATTTACATTTTTAACATTATCATGCAAAGTACAGGCTTCATCCCGTTTGAATGTGAAGAGACAGTGCTGTGTAAGATGGTCCCATGACAGCTATTAGCAAAACAGTGATATTCACATGGAGATTCTTTCTTTCTTTCTTTCTTTTTTTTGAAACGGAGCTTTGCGCTTGTTGCCCAGGCTGGAATGCAATGGCGCAATCTCGGCTCACCGCAACCTCTGCCTCCCAGGTTCAAGCAATCCTCCTGCCTCAGCCCCCCAAGTAACTAGGATTACAGGCATGCGCCACCACGCCTGGCTAATTTTGTATTTTTAGTAGAGACGGGGTTTCTCCATGTTGGCCAGGCTGGTCTTGAACTCCCAACCTCGGGTGATCTACCCACCTCAGCCCCCGAAAGTGCTGGGATTATAGGCGTGAGCCACCACTCCTGGCCCACATGGAGATTCTTAATTCCATTTCCAAGGGAACTATTTTGCAAAGACTGAATAGCTATGTCACATTTAACTATATGTTCCTGGGGAAAATTTTTTTTATTAGAGATGGGGATCTCACTATGTTGCCCTGGCTGATCTCAAACTCCTAGACTCAAGTAATCCTCCCACCTTGGCCTCCCAAAGTGCTGAGATTACATGTGTAAGCCACTGTGCTTGGTCAGAAAAAGAATTATTAGAATGAATAAATTTAAGCTGGGCTTGTTTACTTTCTCTGCTTGTTTTTAAAATTCTCTTATCATTCTATGAACCACTGCAGCGACATAGCTTTCTTTTGTGAGCACAAATTACCTTAGATTTCTCCTGGGATTTTGGCACTGATCTCCAATGTTCTGGTCCTCCCATTTCGTTTCTAAAAGGTAGACCCAGGAAAATCACTAAAAATTTTTACAAAATTGTAGAAAAACTCTTAAGATTTTACATGTACTGCAATCAGGCATGATTCATTCACCAAAGTACATGTGACTCTTCAACAACATGGGTTTGAACTGCACAGCTCCACTTATACACGCATGTTCTTCAGTCTCTGCTACCCCTGGGATGGCAAGACCAACCCCTCCTCTTCCTCAGCCCACTCAATGTGAAGACGACAAGAGTGAGAACCTTTATGATGATCTACTTCCACTTAATGAATAGTAAATATAGTTGCTCTTCTTTTTTTTTTTGAGACGGAGTCTTGCTCTGTCACTGAGGCTGGAGAGCAGTGGGCACGATCTCAGCTCACTGTAAGCTCTGCCTCCCGGGTTCACGCCATTCTCCTGCCTCAGCCTCCCGAGTAGCTGGGACTACAGGCGCCCGCCACCACGCCTGGCTAATTTTTCTTGTAATTTTAGTAGAAACAGGGTTTCTACTAAATTAAATGGGCTAATCACCATTAGCCAGGATGGTCTCGATCTCCTGACTTCGTGATCCATCCGCCTCGGCCTCCCAAGGTCCTGGGATTACAGGCGTGAGCCACCGCGTCCGGCCAGTTTCTCTTCTTATGATTCTCATCAACATTTTCCTTCCCTAGCTCACTTTATTGTGAGAGTACAGTATATAATACATGTGACATACAATATATGGATTAATCTAATGTTTATGTTATCGATAAGTGGGCCAGTCAACAATAGATTATTAGTGGTTAAGTTGTGGGGGACAAAAAAAGTTATTAAAGGATGCAAGTCTACTTGAGGGGCTGGCACCTCTAAACCCTGTGTTGTTCAAGGGCCAACCATATGCCCTTTCCATATATCAAATCATGAACAGCGTTGATGACCAGGAAACAAATGTCTCCAATTGACTGAGTGAAGAGATGATGTCATCCTTACCTATACAGTCCAGATTCCTAATGGTTTCCTGCATGACATTTCTGTAGAGACTCTTCTGTGATGGACCCAGCAAAGCCCACTCCTCTTGTGTGAAGTTCACAGCCACATCTTCAAAGGCCACTGAGTCCTGAAACATCCCACATGTGCAGAGGAGGAAGGTTGAGATGGACAGCACTGAGAATCCATACTCACTGCATAAACTTTGCATGATGCTGTGGTTTCCAAGCATTTATTCAATGACATAGTCAACCCACTCTTATTCTGTCTACACTCACTTTTTCCAACAAAACCATTGTGATGCTTTAGCTGAATGTGTTTGGTAAAGTAACAGTCGAATAGGAACCTGCCTCTTGTTGGTGAGTTAAGTGAGTCTTATTGCCTGCGTCACCCCTGATGTCTATTTCTACAGCGGTTTGTGTAGTTCTTGTCATGACAAAGTATGACTACCTATTGTGTAGGAGAATTACCACTCCCAGTCCTGAAACTGCATATCCTGACAAAGGCTCGTTTGCAAACTTGGATCTTTCATGGTGTCTAGGCACTGGACTAAGAAAGGGGTCCCACCAACGTAACTAAAGCAGAGGCTGAGTGGACCTAAACTGTTTATGCAAAATATAGGGGCCAGGCATGGTGACTCAGGCCTGCCATCCCATCACTTTGGGAGGCCAAAGTGGAAGGATCACTTAAGAACAGGAGTTTAGGACCAGCATGGGTAACATAGTGAGCCCTTTTCTCAACAAAAAATAAAACTAGGTCTGACTCAGTGGCTCATGCCTGTAATCCCAGCACTTTGGGAGGCCAAGACAGGTGCATCACTTAAGCCCAGGAGTTCGAGACCAGCCTGGGCAACATGGTGAGACCTTGTCTCTACAAATAATAATAATAATAAAAAAAATACTAAGATGTGGTGGCACATGCCTGTAGTCCCAGATATCCAGGATGCTGAGGTGAGAGCATCACCCAAGCCCAGGAGGTTGGGGCTGCAGTGAGCTGTGATCATGCCACTATACTCCAGCTTAAAAAATACAGTGAGATCCTGTCTCAAAAAATATAATAAAAGTAAAAATATATATGTATGTAATATATATTTTAACTCCTATTCCCCCTCTGAAAGTTTGGAAGTTTGTTATATGGTCAGCAGAGAGAGAATACCTGTTAGCCACTGCTAGGTGTGAATGCTTGTGCTCTCCAAAACTCATGCTGAAACTTCATCCTCAATATGACAATAATGAAATGTGGGGCTTTAAGAGTTGATTGGGACTGGGCGCGGTGGCTCACACCTGTAATTCCAGCACTTTGGGAGGTCAGGAGATTGAGACCATCCTGGCTAATACAGTGAAACTCCATCTCTACTAAAAATACAAAATATTAGCTGGGTGTGGTGACGGGCACCTGTAGTCCTAGCTACTTGGGAGGCTGAGGCAGGAGAATGGCGTGAACCCGGGAGGCAGAGCTTTCAGTGAGCCAAGATCGTGCCACTGCACTCCAGCCTGGGTGACAGAGCAAGACTCTGTCTCAAAAAAAAAAAAAAAAAAAAAAGTTGATTGGATCTTGAGAGTTTAGACCTCAGGAATGTACTAATCCATTCATAGATAAATGGCTTAATGAATAAACGGGGTATCTCAGGAGTAGGCCTAGTGTCCTTATGAGAAGAGGAAGAGACCTGAACTCTTCTCTGGGCCCCTGGCCATGCAATATCCTGTGCCACCTAGGGACTCTGCAGAGTCCCCACCAGCAAGGAGGCTCTTACCAGATGCCAAGCCTTGATCTTGGGCCTCCTAGCCTCCAGAAGTATAAAAAACAGTGTTTTTTATAAATTATCCAGGCTCAGGTAATCCTGTTATAAGTAACAAAATCAGACTAAGACAGTTATGAGTAAACACTCTGGACACTGGATCGCTACTGAGGGACCCTAGTATCTAACGTTTCACATGTTTGGTTGCAATTTGTTACATGGGATATTCAGCCCATCCTCTGCAATTACACTGAGAGAGAACATTTGGAAACTGGCAACTGGTTTCCTCTAGACCAAACGTAGTTAAGCACGACAAAAGACTATTAAAAAATATTTCGCAGGCTGGGCACGGTGGCTCACACCTGTAATCCTAGCACTTTGGGAAGCCGGATGGGCGGATCACCTGAGGTCAGAAATTCAAGACCAGCTGGCCAACATGGCAAAACTCCGTCTCTCCTAAAAAGTACAAAAATTAGGCAGGCATTGTGGCGGGCGCCTGTAATCCCAGCTACTTGGGAGGCTGAGGCAGACAGAATTGCTTGAATTGCAGAATTGCAGACAGGTTGCAGTAAACTGAGATCGTGCCACTGGACTCCAGCCTGGGGAAAAGAGCAAGACTCTGTCTCAAAAAACAAAACCAAAAAGAACTCGCTATCTCAATGGAAAAATTACAAATTTTGCATTGGATAATGACAAAGGAGAAGGAAAGACGGGGAAAGATTGCACATGTTCTAAGAAAAAACTCAATGTCACCTCTCATGATTATCTATAATATTCCCTAAATTCCTAAAGAGACTTTTAGTAGTCAACAAAGATTATATTGCCAAACCTAATAAAAGTCCCCAATGTCTGAAAAGGTTAAAAACCTTCTAACCAGCCGGGCGCGGTGGCTCACGCCTGTAATCCCAGCACTTTGGGAGGCCGAGGTGGGTGGACCACAAGGTCAGGAGATTGAGACCATCCTGGCCAACATGGTGAAATCCTGTCTCTACTAAAAATACCAAAAAACTTAGCTGGGTGTGGTGGTGTGCAGGCGTGTAATCCCACCTACTGAGGAGGCTGGGGCAAGAGAATTGCTTGAATCTGGGAGGCGGACACTGCAATAAGCCAAGATCGTGCCACTGCAGTCCAGGCTGGTGACAGAGCGAGACTCTGTCTCAAAAATAAACAAACAAACAAATAAAAAAAACAAAACAAAAAGAAATCCCCCAAAAAACTCTTCTAACCAAGAAAGTTATAGCTTTCCAAAAACAGATAAAGGATTTTGAAACTATAATATTTGGCATCCCATACTATTAACAGGGAGATAAACACACAGAAAAAGGAAAGCAAAAAATGGTAGAAGAGCTTAGTGGAGTTTTTATCTGTCCTTGGCCCAATCCCTCCTCACATCAGAGCCAATCTTGAAGACAGCAGACCAAGTTTTCAGTGTGGATCCCTAGAGGTAGCAGATCAGATCTTATTTGCAAATTATTGCCTTTGTATTTTCCAATCATCTGGGGACTATCCAAAGGTCTGAAAGGAGGTTCTCTTTTCTACTTCATCAGTAATGGAACCCAGTCAGGGTCAAACGTGTCAAGAACTGCTTCAAAATGTTGCAAAATACACAAAAAGCTTGCGATCTCCTGGAACAACAGATTACAGTTAAGACGCACAGCAGACCTACTAAGTCGTGGGAAGAAAAGCTGGAGATAAAATTTCCTTCAGAAATTAGGGTACTGGAGGCCAGGCACGATGGCTCATCCCTGTAATCTCAGCACGTTGGGAGCCCAAGGCGGGTGGATCACCTGAGGTCAGGAGTTCAAAACCAGCCTGGCCAACATGGCGAAACCCCGTCTCTACTAAAAATACAAAAAAAATTGGCCAGGCGTGGTGGCTCATGCCTGTAATCCCAGCACTTTGGGAAGCCGAGGTGGGTGGATCACGAGGTCAGGAGATTGAGACCATCCTGGCTAACATAGTGAAACCCCTAATACAAAAAAAAAAAATTAGCCAGGTGTGGTGGCAGGCGCCTGTAGTCCCAGCTACTCAGGAGGCTGAGGCAGGAGAATGGCGTGAATCCGCGAAGCAGAGCTTGCAGTGAGCCAAGATTGCGCCACTGCACTCCAGCTTGGGCGTGGTGGTGAGCTCCTTGTAATCTCAGTTACTCAGGAGGCTGAGGCAGAGAGAATTGCTTAAAACCCAGTAGGCGGAAGTTGCAGTGAGCTGAGATTGCACCACTGCACTCCAGCCTGGGCAACAGAGTGAGACTCCATCTCGGAAAAAAAAAAAAGAAAGAAATTAAGGTACTGAAAAGCACCCAGTTATATTAGGGAATATTTTTGTTATACCTACCTGATCTAACAGATACAAATTTGTTTGAAATAATACTAGCAATGTATTGGGTAGTAACAGGTTCCAATAGGGCAAATGAATGACAGTGATGTTATATTGGATGGGAGGAAGGAATTTGGAACAGTAAGTAATACCAGTGCTACTCTCAAAGCCAGTATAGCATTATTTGAAACTGAAGGTCCATTAGTTGTAAATGGTGTGCTACAAACTCTAGGGAATTCACTAATAAAATTTAAGAAACAAGTAGACTTATGGCCGGGTGTGGTGGCTCACGCCTGTAATCCCAGCACTTTGGGAGGCGAGGCAAGTGGATCACGAGGTCAGGAGATCAAGACTAGCCTGATCAACATGGTGAAACTCCGTCTCTACTAAAAATACAAAAATTAGCCGGGCATGGTGGCATGCCTATAATCCCAGCTATTGGGAAGCTGAGGCAGGAGAATTGCTTGAACCTGGGAGGCAGAGGTTGTAGTGAGCCGAGATCGTGCCATTGTACTCCAGCCTAGGTGACAAAAGCAAAACTCCGTCTCAAAAAAAAAAAAAAAAAAAAGAATCATACAGAATGCTCAGTTAAAATGAAAGCAGAAAAAGTGAAGAAGTTAAAAAAACAGTCAAGTAGAAGAATAGAAAACAATAACATATATACATATTACCAATTATGTCAATACCACTTTGAATGTGTATTAGCTATACATACCAGTTAAAAAGACATGGACTGGCTGAATAGAATAAAAAAAACAAGGCTGGTCAGCACGGTGACTCATGCCTGTAAGCCCTGCATTTTGGAATGCTGAGGCGGGTGCATTGCTTGAGGCCAGGAGTTTGAGACCAGCCTGGCCAATGTGGTGAAATCCCATCTTTACTAAAAATACAAAAAAATTAGCCTGGCGTGGCGATGCATGCCTATAATCTCAGCTACTCGGGAGGCTGAGGCATGAGATTCACTCGAACCCAGGAGGCGGAGGCTGCAGTGAGCTGAGATTGTGCCACTGCACTCCAGCCTGGGCAAGACAGCAAGGCTCTGCCTCTAAAAAAAACCCAACAAATAAAACAAGACT